AAATAAGGCTGAGACCGACTGGGCTGCATTCCCAGGAGGTTAAGGCATTCTTAGACACAGGCCATAAAGACCTTGCTGATAAAGCAGGATACAGTAAAGAAGCTGGCCAAAACCTACCAAAACCAAGATGGCCAAGAGAGTGACCTCTGGTCCTGGTCGTCCTCTCTGCCCATTATATGCTAATTATAATACATTAGCATCCTAAAGGACATGACCACCAGTGCCATGACAGTTTACAAATGCCATGGCAATGTCAGGAAGTTACCCTATATGGTCTAAAAATGGGAGGAGACCAGGCCTGACGGCTCACACCTGTAATCCAGCACTTTGAGAGGCTGAGGTCGGCGGATCACCTGAGGTCAGGAGTTGGAGCCAGCCTAGCCAACATAGTGAAACCCCGTCTCTACTAAAAAATACAAAACAATTAGCCAGGCATGGCAGGAAAAGCTTGTAATCCCAGTTACTTGGGAGACTGAGGCAAGAGAATTGCTTGAACCCGGGAGGCAGAGGTTGCAGTGAGCTGATCCCGCTACTGCACTCCAGCCTGGTCTACAGAGCAAGACTCTGTCTCAAAAAAAGAAGTAACAGGCCGGGCGCGGTGGCTCACACCTATAATCCCAGCACTTTGGGAGGCCGAGGTGGGTGGATCACAAGGTCAAGAGACTGAGACCATCCTGGTCAACAAGGTGAAACCCCGTCTCTACTAAAAATACAAAACATTAGCTGGGCATGATGGTGCGTGCCTGTAGTCCCAGCTATTTGGGAGGCTGAGGCAGGAGAATTGCTTGAACCCAGGAGGTGGAGGTTGCGGTGAGCCGAGATCGTGCCATTGCACTCCAGTCTGGGCAACAACAGGGAAACTCCGTCTCAAAAAAAAAAAGTAACAATAGGTATAAACAGCTGAGCAGCCCATGTGCAGCTCTGCCTACAGAGTAGCCATTCTTTTGTTTCTCTAATAAACTTGCTTTCATTTTACCATAGGGACTTGAATTCTTTTTGTTTGTTTGTTTGTTTGTTTTTTTGCCTATAATCAAAACTTTATTGAAAAACTGACACCAAAATAGGAGATCACTGTTGTACACCTTACAAAGCCAAATGTAATTACATTATCTTGGTAGATTAATTAGAATTACGGAACTTATGGTAAGGCTTTCTGTGAGATAACATAAATTCAGGAAGCTGTTTGGATCATTAGTATTGCTTTCTTCTAAATGAACACCCTTCTGTGAGTCTGGCCTTTCTTCCTGCAGGCTGACACAACACTGTTGAACAACCTACACAAAGAACCACTGTCTAAGCATGGCTGAAAACCGTGGTGATCTTGTAGCAACCTGGACACTTTATATTTGCATAAGGCATTTCTTTTTGTGTTTTTTCTTTTCCTCTTCCAAGGAAGGATGGAGTAGAACTCTAGCCAAAGCATGTTGATCCTCTCACAAGTCTAACCCTTCCAGACCTCAGCCAACACCACTAACCCTTTTTTTTTTTTTTTTTTTTTTTTTGAGACAGAGGCCCGCTCTGTCACCCAGGCTGAAGTGCAGTGTGGTGATCTTGGCTCACTGCAATCTCACTTGCAACCTCTGCCTCCTGAGTTCAAGCGATTCTCCCACCTCAGCCTCCTGAGTAGCTGGGACTAGAGGTGCACCTCACCACGCCCAGCTAATTTTTGTACATTTAGTAGAGGTGGGGTTTCCCCATGTTGGCCAGGCTGGTCTCAAACTCCTGACCTCAAGTGATCCACCCACCTCAGCCTCCAAAAGTGCTGGGATTACAGGCATGAGCCACCGTGTCCGGCCCTTGAATTCTTTCTTGAACGAAATCCAAGAATCCTCTCCTGGGGTCTGGATGGGGACCCCTTTCCAGTAACAATTCCACATCATACCTGCTACACTGCCTCAGTTCAGGTCTTCATTTTTTTGGGCCTGTATTGCTGCAACAGTCTAAACAATGTCTCTTAAAAAAAAAAAAAGTCTTCTCTGCCTCACTATACAAAATGCAGGTGTCTCTGTGGTGCAATCGCAGGTTCGGCTGTTAACCAAAAGGCTGGTGGTTCAAGCCCACCCAGAGGTGTCCGCTCTAGGTTTTACACTCCAAGAATGTTAGAAGAAAAAAAAAAAATTAAAGAAAAAGAAAAGAAAAAGAGAACAGAATGCAAATCTCCATTATAGCACTCAACAGCTTTAAATCTTCAATGACTCCCTTGAATAAAGGTAAGGTCTTTCTTTCAAGGCATAGGTCTCACCTTTCCCTGTCTCAGAAATTGTGGCCCTCTCACTCCAAGCTTCTCTATTCTGTGCTGCCTTTGCTCCTCATGGTTTCTTTTATTTATTTTTTATTTTTTTATTTTTATTTTTATTTATTTTTTTTTTT